GCCCCTCCTCGTAGGAGAGAGGCTCCAGCCCCCTCACCATCCTTGTAGCCCTCGGCTGGACATCTCAGTTTGCACCCACGAGCATAAGGATTTACGTAGCCTGCAACGAGGACTTCCACTCTGGACCAGACCTTTATCAGCAGGGACAATCTGCCAGGAAGCTCGGTAATCGGTCACCGTGGAGCCGGCTGACGATGGCCTCACCTCACCCTGCTGCCGGGGAGCGGGCAGGGCTGAGGGACAAAGCCGGGGCTGGCACCCCTGTGCCCCAGCTCCCAGCTCCCAGGCAGTGCCAGAGGCCCCGCAGGTCTCACGCTGCGGTCCCCGTGCCTCGCCAGCAACCCTGTCCCTTGGCCAGGAGGGTGACAGAGGTGCCAGCCTCCTGGCCAGAGCCAGGGGACACCGTGCCTGTCTTCACCAGGCAAATGCCGCTTCTTGGAGGCTCCCGTCTGGCTGGCGGTAGCAGATGGTGGTTCTGCAGGTAATACTTCGAAAGCATCTCCTCGGGCAGGGAGAGGCTCTCAAATTCATTATCCTGGGCAAACCAGACAGAGATTTAAGCTGCAAAGAAGATAAGAAGATTGTTTTACCAATCCCATCTTTGCTGCCTTCCTGGCATGTGCATTTCCCCGGAGAGGGGTCTCACAGGAACGGAGGAAGCCCCTTTTCTGGGTGTTCAGGGTGGGATCCCCACTCGCCCGTCTGCAGCCCAGCAGGCGGCGAATGCAAAACCTTGCTCTGGCTCGGTCGGGGCACTCAGGTTATGCTCTAACAGCAAGGTTAGAGCCCAGAGGCTGGGCTCACCTCACACCCAGTGCTGGGAGACCCAGCATCCCCACACCTGAGCAAGAGCAGAACAACCCCCCAGCACCCTCTCTCTCTGGGCAGAAGAGGTCACACCAAGGCGAGGGGCTGCTTTGTGTTGCGTGGCAGGGGCTGCAGGTTGCTGCAAGGCTTTGCAGCCCTGCTGCACCTTCTGGCTCCTGCCCCGAAGGACTGACCATCCCCACGGAGAAGGCAAGGGAAGGCCAGGGGCTCACCCATGCTTTCAGCAAAGGTCAGTGTAGGAGTCTGGATCTCCAGGACTGGCTGTTGCCTCCACTCCACCCCAGCAGAGCCATTCCAGTGCACTCTGGCATTAGAAACTGGCAGTGAATGGACTCTTCCCCTAAGTGTTTGAGGCCAAAACCAGTGTGTGCTCATCATGCTGCTTGCTAGCCCTGTCTCAGAGTGCTCCAGCATCTCTGCAAGCTTCCACACCCACGTCTTGGTCCAGCATCTCTGCAAGCCTCTGCACCCACATCTTGGTCCAGCATCTCTGCAAGCCTCTGCACCCACGTCTTGGTCCAGCATCTCTGCAAGCCTCCCCACCCACGTCTTGGTCCAGCATCTCTGCAAGCCTCCGCACCCACGTCTTGGTCCAGCATCTCTGCAAGCCTCCGCACCCACATCTTGGTCCAGCATCTCTGCAAGCCTTCGCACCCACGTCTTGGTCCAGCATCTCTGCAAGCCTCCCCACCCACGTCTTGGTCCAGCATCTCTGCAAGCCTCCCCACCCACGTCTTGGTCCAGCATCTCTGCAAGCTTCCACACCCACGTCTTGGTCCAGCATCTCTGCAAGCCTCTGCACCCACGTCTTGGTCCAGCATCTCTGCAAGCCTCCACGCCCACGTCTTGGTCCAGCATCTCTGCAAGCCTCTGCACCCACGTCTTGGTCCAGCATCTCTGCAAGCCTCCGCACCCACATCTTGGTCCAGAACAGCAAGATGGGAGCTCGCTCTGGTGCCTTGCCCACCCAACACACGGGGTGAGGCTCTCCCCATGCCCAGCTGTGCTCCAGCCTCTGCCGCAGGCTGGGAACACCAGGATGGGGTTGGTAAAAGCAGCACAGAGCGGCTGCTCCCTAAAAATCGGGAGCTGGCTGGGAGAGCCCTTCGTGGCATTTCACTGAAGCAGATACGTTGTCCCAAGTTGCAAGACAGGCAATTCTTTTCTTCCTGTTAGGTGATTCAGTAGAGGTGATTAAATTATAATTAAGCAACACATGATTGCCCTGCAGGAGTCATCGCCCGCCTTGCAGCCCAGGTTCACAGAATCACAGAATGTTCGGGGTTGGAAGGGACCTCTGTGGGTCATCTAGTCCAACCCCC